AGATTGTCCAGGCTTTTCCAATATTGTGGTTCTCAAATCCTCAGACGGCTCTTTGCTTTTCTTTCTTTTCTCCATGTTCAGTGTGGTCCACACGACGCAAAGATTGAGTCAAGTTTCCTCCATTTTAACTGGTTGCAAGTGTGATTTCTATATTGCCAGTATCTGTTGACTGTTATAAGTTTCTTTACAAATTAAAGGAGCATTTCTCTGCTTTTGTATGTTGCTCCAATGCAAATAAAATAAATAAACACAAGAGTACCAAAGAATTTATGATAGCAACAATTTTCAGGGAGAAGTGGTTCATTATCTGACAAACGCAGTGGTGCCAATATTTTTGGCCATGACCGCATGCTTACAAAACAGCTAGGGTTACGGTAGGAGCCATGTATTTAGGACTTTTACCTACAGCAAGCAAAGTACATAGGAACTTTGTGACGCACAACTCTATGTTCTGAGACCATTTGTATAAACACAGTCCACTGCCCGAACAACAAAGATCTAATTTGTTTCAGAGTGTGTATACAAATACTCATTCAAATTATATTTATGAGAGACAGATCAGTTAATGTGCAGTGGGAAAAGTCCAAAATAATCAGTGTATACAAAGGAAACCTTATCAAATGTGAAAACTTACATTTCAGAGTCATAAATGTATTATGACAAAAACTTCTATTAAAAATATCTTGACTTTTGGGCTCAATGAAACCTAAAAACTTGTATTAGATCATGGCTTTTGGAAAACCATCAATACAACCTGCAATTATTTTTTAAAATATCATATGTTATGTACTGTAATGCTGCTGCATTATACACAGATCAGCCATAACATTATGACCACTGAGAGGTGAAGTCAATAACATTGATTATCCTGATACAGTGGCACCTGGCAGTGTGTGGGGTCTATTAGGCTGCAAGTGAGTCTTATAATACTAAAGACAAAAACAATAGGAAAGACAACAAAAGGGAATAACACTGTAGCATCAAATTAAATGTTTTAGGTACCATTACAATATATGTCAGTGGAACTACAGTTAAAAATATTTTCTTTACCTACAGTAATAGAAAACAATAAAAAAGAAAAAGATTAACTATAAAAAATTTAATCTTTAAAGAAAAATTCTGCATTTCAGCTGCAATTACAGTCAGAATTCACTCATACATTCTTAAAAAATGAGGCAATATCATCTGACAAGAGCATGACACTTTCAGTTGAAGAACTAAACACTAGACAAGTATATACAGAAGTAAGTTCTACTCCAAGACATTTAGCCATTCTCACTTTCCCTGACTATTCATCCAGTCTCATACAGGATTGTAGTGCAGTATTTTCTCATGTACACAAACAAAGAAACCACTGAATGTCAATCAGTGATCCTGACCTGAAGTTAACAGATTCAGACTCTTGGAGACATGAAGATTCCAGTGAATAAAAACAACCTCTACTGATGAGAGCACATTGTTTCGCTTTGATCTCACTGCAGCATTTGACAGTGCATATTTCTGGGAACTGAAAATATGTTTTTATTTTTTGTTTTGAATAAAGATGTTTTAACCATTTTCCAACCTGACATGGGAGAGTGTGATATCACACAGTTCACTAGAATGGTTATAAAAGGTTCTAGCTCCATGCAAAAATCTTGGCCAAAATCTTTGTATCTGCATTGATAAGTGATACTGATCTATATGATGCTGGATCTTCTGGATCCTGATCTTTTTTCAGAATTAGGCTAATATAGGATGTTGAAAAAGATTCGGGTAAATACTGCCCTGAGTTTTATTTATTTATTGTCTAACTACTTTGGATAAATATGTTTTAACGGTTTTCTGACATGAGAGTGTGCGATATCACACACATGTTTCATATTCTGAAAAAGGTGTGCCAGCATCAGGAAGAAAGCTCTCTGTCTCTTCTTGTGGTGGTTTGTCCTCCAGTTGGATGGCCAGTCCATTACCATCTTTGTGCTGTGGAGGCTGCCTCTGTTGTGATGAGCGCTATAAGAATAAACAGGAGATAAACAGAAGGATAGGTTAAACACAGATGTCATTAACTATTCATAACTAGGACTCACACTACAGGTTTCTGTGCATTAGCATGCTAACTGTGATAATGCTAATATGTTTAAGTTTAGCAGATGTAATGTTTATAATGTTCACAGCCTCCATTTAGTATGTTAGCATTTGCTAATTAGCACTAAACACAGCACAGCTGAGGCTGATTGGTCATAAAACCTGATGAGAAAAGTCAGGGATCAACAGAGTTTTTTTAACAAGTGTGGTCTGGGACCATGGATGTTCACAGTTTGTTAAGATACTTCAGTTCAGACCAACTAACACAGCCATCCAGTGAGCCTTGCTGACAGGATGGCTAAAACTTTTAGAATCGCAGTGAAGATGCTGCTTTAAACACTGATCCCCTGACAAATTGCTTTCACTCATTACCCACCATAAACTACAGCATTGTGATCTCATTTGTCCAATTTACGATAGTAAGTCAAACATGTTTAATTGTCATCTCTCTGTGGTGAGATTTTTGTTCAGACTCTCTATTCCCAGTTTAAAACTGAGCTTATAATCAGCCTATAAATCACAGTGTTTTAGGTTTTAGATATTTCTAGATGCCGTTTTGTTGCAATAGTGGATTTTTGCTACTAACTTCATTAGAAAGGCTCGACATTACAACTTAAATGACTGTAAGTAAATACAAATTTTAATGTTTTACCAAGCATGACACCTGAGAGGGTTTCAAATACCGTTTGTCCCAGGGGAGTCACGCAGCAGAGCTTCTTTTTCAGGCGTTCAGGTAGAAAACAAAGCAGTTTCCCTAACAATGGATAGATGGTGCCTGGTGTCACATCCTCTTCTTTCATAGGGCCTGAGTAGGAAATGCAAATATAAAACAATTTAAAATGAGGCCAAAAGGGATTGTAATAAAGGGTTCGGAATTATAGAGAGCATATTCTCATGTAGGACCTCACCCACCTGTGAGAAAGCTGATGATCAGACCTATTAGAATGACTATGAGGCAGGAAAATCCACTGTACCACATGTACGACAAGGAGTAAAATCTCTTAAGTCCAGTGGGTTGGCTAAAGAACAAAGAGAGATGATTAACCGGTGAACACAGTAAAAACAAACACACTGTGCTGTTTGTGTGCCTGATACCTCACTGTTACATTGCTCAGAACAGTCTGGAATGGCATTAGTAATGTTTACTGAAGGCAGGATGACTATACAATTGGGCGGCTGTGGCCTGGCGCCGGAGCCACGAGTGATGACGCTCCCGATACCGACCCACAAAGACATAGACAGACCCACCACTAGACCCCCCACTGCTCCCTGGTAACAGCAGGAAAACAGGTGGGATGATAACTGATATAAGAACACAACTTACCTGGATGGACAATGGACACGGTTTCTTTAACTACATTCTTTTTGTTGCAATTAGGAATACATGTTATTGTAAAACTGAATGACAGACAACTCATTTCTTTTAAATACTGGGGTGTTGCTCCCACAAGGGGTCCCAAATAAATGTGTGAGTTTACAAAACGTTTCAAGGCATAATCTGACGTTCACATGTACAGAATCAAAGACTGGAGAAGAAGCAAGTTGTCAATCATAAAACACTTTTCCATATTTAGCTCAACTTACAGTGGAGTTGGCCCAGGGGAAGAACATCCCGAGACAGAACAGACCAAGAATAGGACCGCCAACCACCCCAAAGATTTTCAAAGCCACCTGGAGTTAAAACATAATATCACTCACTGCAAACTTAGTGACAAATGTTTGTTACTGTTCCTCGTACAACCTGTGAGATTACCTGTAGAACTGAATCCCCCATTAGGTGAGTGAGATAGGCCATGGCCAGACACAGCAGCCCATAGGACATAGCTTAATGAGGAGACACAAGCTGAAACCTTAGAACAAATGTGTTGTTATTATGCAGGTACGTAACATGCATTGCTGAAGTTAAAGCTTCTGGGAGCAAACCTAAGGCTTTAGACAGGAGGGTTGCTCTTGCTTCTGCCATGGCTGGGAAATGTGGTTTGATAAGGTCCTCCATTGTCACAGTGGCCAAAGAGTTAAAAGCAGAGGAGACGGAGCTGCACAGGAAAAGCAAGAAATCATACATATCACTGACACCACCTTTAAAATACTTCAACTCATTCTAGTCTAATCAAAATATAAAAGTATAAAAGTATTAGCATCAAAGCATACTTAAAATACAAAAAAAAGTTGTCACTGTGCAGAATGGCACATTTCTCATCCTTGTATATCATATTATTGTATTATAATTACTGATGCATTATTGTATTCATCATATTTAATGTTGCAGCTGGTAAAGGGGGAGAAATTTTAACTAGTTTATATGCATTTCATTTGAATTACTGCTGGGAAGCTTGTGAATTTTCCACCATAGATCAATTAGGTCAAATACCGTATTTTTTGTATTAATCTGGTTCTGAAAATTAACAGTAACTAAAGTTATAAAATAAATGTAGTGGAGTAAAAAGTACTATATTTGCCTCTAAAATGTAGTGAAGTCAAAGTATGAAATAACTGAAAATGAAAATAACCAAGTACAGACAACTCAAAATTGTGCTTAAGTACAGTACTTGAGTAAATATACTTAGTTACTTTCCACCACTGCCTGCCAACAACAACAACAAACATTTACTCAAGTTTCACTCAAGTCAAACCATGTCACTGAGGTCAAGAGTCAAGGCCTGAAATGTTAAAATTCACTATGATGTTTTTAATCTGTTTACAGCCTCTTTACCAGTTACAGTGAAAGGGACACAACTGAACTTTGTTGCTCATAAATTTTGCTTGGCTGATCTTGACAACAAGCAAGGAGGGCTGACAGACAAGTGTCACAGCTCACTGCAGTCAGAAGGGTCAGAGCTATTGATACAATAACCGATAGTGAGATACACCATCGGTTCATGTGCAGGCAGCATTCTGTTAGGACTCATAGGGTTCATGTTAGGTATAATTACAAACTAAAAACAACACTGTACCTGAGAGCTGCACTGAACAAACATGCAACAAACAGTCCAGGAAGTCCAGGCAGGCCTTCCAGCATATCCATCACAAAGTATATCACCATCTGTGGAAAACACAGTTAGCAGTTTGGTTTGCATAAGATTCACCAGAACAAAATACAAATCGGCACATTGAAGGTCCCAGTGACATGACAGTCATATTTACACAATGAGCCTAATTTGCTGGAAGCAGATGTTATAAAACATGTAAATACCCATGCTGCTGTCGTTTGGCTGTTAGGTGTACATGTCCAGGAAGGTTCTTTATATACACCTACATAAACATAACTTCATCATCCTTCATACTACGTAATCTTTTGAGATCAAGGAAACAGAAAAGCAGGAAATAAAAATCTGTTTCCAAAAACATCAGCTCAGTGGGCAACAACACTAATAAAGACAAATAACACGCCAAACTCACTGTATCACTTGAAGAGGTGCCCAGCTTGTCGGTGAGATCTTCTCCGCAGTAACGTGCAAACATGATGAGCCCTGTCACACAGTTCAGAGCCAGAGCCAGCTGCAGGGCAGGAAATGCCACGTAGCAAGACCTGCAGAGGGGCAACAACATCTTTGTGTCATTTTTGTGACATAATGGGGATGGCAGTGTCAGTATATCAGGCCAGAAGATTTGTATTTTTGGTTTTAAGTGGTCATGAATTTTGGTGCACACATCCATGTTCCTTCAGGATGAAGTGTAATAATTTAAGTGATCCTTTAATGTGCCTCCATCAGGTCAAAAATCAATTGTGTCCAATACTGTTTTAGTACCAAATACAGCTGCACTTAGTGTTTAGATTACATTAGCAAATGCTGGTATCCTAATGTGCTAAACTAAAGAGACTGAATATGGTAAATATTTTAGGTTCATCAGCATGTTAGCACAGTCACGGTAATCACTTTAGCATGCTGATGCTAGCATTTAGTTCAAGGCCCCACTGTGCTAAAGGAAAGCATCACAGAGATGCTAACATAGCTGTAAACTCTTTAGCACTGTTAACATGTTTTTGTGTTCATAATCGTGCTGATTGTGCAGTAGATTTATACAGCATAATGACCACTGATGTCATAATTATCTAATTACATTGATATATTTAAAATCTCTCTCAGTCACACAAAGAAACCACATACATCTGCATCTAAGATACACAACTCTACACACAGTACTTATACATGTATATACACACATACACATTTCAGAAAAGTAAACAAAGTATAGAAAGAGAAGAACACTAGGGGGAAACAAGAATAAGCATTATCAAGGAATCATGTATGATTTCCGGGTTGCAAGCGAGAGCAGATGTCTTTACTGCTTCTCTTGTCTGTTCTACGATTTTTCACATCTTCTACATTGTCAAGTCTTTGAACAAATTCTACAACTACTAAAATGCCTCCAAGAGGAAAAAGAGCTAATAAATCCAAAGTGACCGAGGATGTTGAGCCTGAAGAAGATTCGATTTCAGCGGTGCAAGTAGCTGAGATGTTGAATCAGCAGAAGCTGATGTTCACCACGCTTATGTGCCAACAGCATGATAGTTTCCAAGGCTTTGTGAAACTAATTATGGAGACAAATAACAAGAGATTCGACGACATGACCAAAGAAATGCAGAAGATAAAAACGAGTTTGCAGTTTACCCAGCGAGATGTGGACGCAATTAAAGCGGCCGTGGGGGTGCAGGAAAAAATTGCCGAAGACACTAGGCGGGACGTCTACAAAACCCGTGAGAGTCTAATAACTATTACGTATAAAATGGAGCAACTGGAAGCACAGTCCAAGCAAAAAAACCTGATCTTCAAGGGAATCAAGGAGTCAGCTGGAGAAAGCTGGACGGAAGCGGAGTGTAAGGTGAAGGAGATTTTA